AATTTTTCCCCTTTTTATGCAGGTGTAATATAATTAAAGATTTACGTTTGAAATGAGATTTAAAAAAAAAATGAAATTCCAATGTTTCTGAGAAAATCGTTTCTAAAATTTTATACATCTTACATGTTGATTGACACAGGGCCTCGTTTTTTTATGTCTATAAAAAAGCGTAAACTGCCCCAAATTATGTTAAAGGTATAAAATAAGCTAAAAAACTTCATTCCAAATAACTTAATTTCAATATACACAGTGAGGCAAAACGAAAAAACGCTTCAAATGAAGCGTTTTTTTTTTTAAAAAGAAAGTTTCTTCAAGCGGAGTAATATGTTTTCGACGTAACTAATCGAGGCGTAGGCAAGTTATGTCATACAAAATGGATTAAATCTTTTACCCAACCAAATGACGTGTTGCAACTAAAATTAAATTATAGGATCATAATAATTTTACGATAATTATTAACGTTTCTTGCACCCAAATAACATTATAAATACAGGTGACTCTCGATGGCTCGAACTCCGATCTCTCGAAGTTTTCGATCTCTCGAAGTGAACCTTCGATCCCGTTTTTTTCCCCTATATAATTAAGCAAATTTACTCCTGATCTCTCGAACTTCTATCTCTCAAAGTTCTCTATCTCTCGAACCAAAACCTGGGTCCCGTTACACATATTCCATTGAATTTTACTCTCTATCTCTCGATGTTTTGATTGCGCGTGTATACATGCCAATCAAGCGTAAAATGGATGCAGTCTGGACTTACCTAGAAACCGTGAAGGCCTTCGGCTGGCATGGAGGTGTTAATTGGGTGTTTACATAGATGACACTACACCTGTGGGTTGTCCGTGTGTTGTTATCATTAATTGGTTATTATTCACAGGGTAAATTAGAAACAAATTCACAACTTATTTTGAATTGAAACTGAGACGATATTTTTTTTTTAATTAATTTATAGATGTTCGTTTCAGTAAGTTCCCATAGAATATGAACTTTCATTATGATTATATAGAGTCTACATAATCCCAATATGGGAAATATTACACAAGAAATTCTTTTCTCAAGGACAGAATACCGATTAAAAAAAATCTGGTGAACACTGGTGAAGGACCCGATCATCAGATCAAGCCGCGGAATAGCCAAACTTACAACCTATATTCGGGTTTCATGTAATCATGAAATAGGAACAAATAAATAATAAATCTTTAGGAAATCGTTTTATTTATTCCAAATACAACTTACCATTGCTGTTGATATCAAGTAAATTACCTGTAAAATACGATTGAAAATGTGCAATGACATTATTTACATATACTTCCGGTATCTGTAAAAGTAGAACTTTGATGATCGGAACTGAAAATTCCGGATTTTATTTAATTTCCATCTCTCGAACCCTTCGATCTCTCGAACTTTTCTCGCGGTCCCTTGAACTTCGAGAGATCGAGAGTCACCTGTATATTCAAATGAAATCATGACAGGATCTCGCCAACACTTTGCAGAGCACTCATCGTGGCTGTGACAGTCATTCCAGGTTGTACATGTAACAGCACTTTTTGCCAACTGAGAGTATTTGAACAATGCATGCCAAACCAGTAATCTTTAGTTAAATGAATAACTTACGAACTGGATATGTAAGTAATAAGATTGGATACGTACAAAACAAACAAGATTCGTAATTTACAAACCGAATAAAAAAATAAATGAATGTATACATAAATAACAAGCTGGATATATACGTACATAACAAATGGGATTCTTATATCACTAATTGGGTATATACCTAATTAGACATATCCATAACAAATTGGATACATACAACAGAAACTGGTTGTGTAAAAATATGATCGAATATATTCAAATAGAACATTGTTTAATCCAAAGACATATACTCCTTTCTGTTATGATTGTCGGTTTATACTTCTGTAATTGAATAAGACACCTGCAAGGGGGATCAAAATGACCTTTATTCAATATTTTTCTTTGTTAATCTTAAAAAATAATATACTTTCCCATTGCTTTTTGTATCCATTTCCTGAAAATAAAGGTAAAAATTTCAGCATTTGACATTGCTATCAAACTGGTCAACACGGGATATGGAACTTAATGTTAATTATCCATCTGCTCTAAAGTTCATCGATTTTTTTTTTCAAATCCATACATTGATTCACATTAATAATAATAGCTTAATCTTCAAATGGAAAATAGTTTGAAGTATGAAGCGTTGCTTACTTTTTTCAGAAATTAATATTTTTTCTAATCATGGTGTAAAGAAAATGATATCTTAATTAGAAATATCAACAAAAATAAAAGTATGAGAAATTTATGAAAACAAGAAGCCCATGGGCCACATCGCTCACCTGAGCACTACGGGTAGGAAAAAGTAGAAAATGGCTTTTTATTATAAAGTTTAAATACAAAAGTAGACCAATGACCAATCATGGATTTGCTATTTTTTATAAGATGATGTTTAAAGATTTTTCTCACCTGAGCACTACGGGTAGTAAAAAGTAGAAAATGGCTTTTTATTATAAAGTTTAAATCCAAAAGTAGACCAATGACCAAACATGGATTTGCTATTTTTTATAAGATGATTTTTCAAGATTTTTCCAAGATATATCTTTAAAAACTTTGGTCGGCCATTTTGGCTCCGCCCTACCCCTGAGGGTCATGATTTGAACAAATTTGAATCTACACTACTTGAGCATGCTTCCATATAAATATGATGAATTATGGCTTTGTCATTCTTGCGAAAAAGATTTTTAAAGAATTTTCCTATATATTTCTATGTAAAACTTTGGTCGGCCATTTTGGTCCCGCCCTACCCCTGGGGGTCATGATTTGAAAAAATTTGAATTTGCACAACCTGTGCATGCTTCCATATAAATATGATGAATTATGGCTTTGTCACTCTCGTGGAGAAGATCTTTAAAGAATTCTCCAATATATTTCTATGTAAATTTTTGGTTGGCCATTTTGGCCCCGCCCTACTCCCGGGGGTCATGATTTGAACAAATTTGAATCTACACTACCTCAACATGCTTCCATATAAATATGATGAATTATGGTCTTAACATTCTTGAGAAGAAGATTTTTAAAGAATTTTCCTATATATTTCTTTGTAAAACTTTGGTTGGCCATTTTGGACCCGCCCTACCCCTGGGGGTCATGATTTGAACAAATTTGAATCTACACTACCTGTGCATGCTTCCATGTAAATATGATGAATTATGGCGTTGTCATTCTTGAGAAGAAGATTTTTAAAGAATTTTCCTATATATTTCTATGTAAAACTTTGGTCGGCCATTTTGGCCCCGCCCTACTCCCGGGGGTCATGATTTAAAAAAAAATTGAATCTACACTACCTGAACATGGTTCCATATAAATATGATGAATTATGGCTTTGACATTCTTGAGAAGAAGATTTTAAAAGAATTTTCCTATATATTTCTATGTAAAACTTTGGTCGGCCATTTTAGCCCCACCCTACCCCCAGGGGTCATGATTTGAACGACTTGAATCTACTCTACCTGAGCATGCTTCCGAATAAACATGATGAATTATGGCTTTGTCAATCTTGAGAAGAAGATTTTTAAAGAATGTTCTTATATATTTCTATGTAAAACTTTGGTCGGCCATTTTGGCCCCGCCCTACCCCCGGGGGTCATGATTTGAACAAATTTGAATCTACACTACCTGAGGATGTTTCCCCATAAGTTTCATCTTTTCTGGCACTGTGGTTCTTGAAAAAAAGATTTTTAAAATATGCTACCAAATTTTCATTAATTCCCAATTATCTCCACTTGAATGAGGGCGTGGCCCTTCATTTGAACAAACTTGAATTCCTTTCACCCAAGGATACTTTGTGGCAAGTTTGGTTGAAATTGGCCCAGTGGTTCTTGAGAAGAAGTCGAAAATGTGAAAAGTTTACAGACAGACGGACAGACGGACAGCTAGACAGACAGACAGACAGAAGGACAGACGCACAGACAGACGGACGCCGGACAAAATGTGATCAGAAAAACTCACTTGAGCTTTCAGCTCAGGTGAGCTAAAAAGTATAATGTCATACTATCTAATTCTGATTTGAACAGATAATTAAACATTCAAATTTTTATACTTGTATAGTTATATACGTCAAACAACAAGATTTATCTTTCCATTAACGCCCTGAAGATATTTTTAACGAAACGGAATATTAACTAACTGTTTATAAACAATTCTGCATCTTAATTTTCTGAAATAATCAAAAGACGTGTACGTCAAAGATAGAAATACCTCAATTTTTACAGTTTACAGGAATTAAGTTTAAAGGGTTTAGCAAACTATTATAGATAATAAATGAAAATATTGCAATAGAGACTAGAAATCAATATCTGTTCATTGTATTACATTGTTTTGAGTTGAATATAAAAATGGTCCCCATTAAAGAACTAATGTACCATTGTTGAATGCATGGGGAGTTATTACCTAACAACAATAAACATGGTCAACGATAATCTAATTAGTTACATTTTCCATAGATAGATGAAAAACAATTTATTATATAGAACTATATAGATGAAATATTTTATCAATGAGGTACAGTTACCTGCCTCAGAGCTTTTTTCTTTTATTGCATTGATATACACACAATGTGTTGTAGTCCCATAAACCAACCCAAAGGAGATGAGTGTTGTTGTCGTAACTTAGGCTAAGTGGTCATTTAACTCCCTGCTCTTGTATCAGAATCTGTGACAGAAATTAACCATTAATATCAATGATTGGTACTATGTTTGTGATCGGATCAGATTCCGTGTGCAAAATTGTGCTGGAGGTCCTGTGTAGGAGAAGCGATGTATTCCTCCACGATCTGTCACTACTACTTGGTCTAATTATGAGACAATAACATCCCTATTGCCGTTCTCCCTGATGTATCCAGGTGTTCTGTACAGTTGTTGACCCTCGTTGGTTGGTTGTTTTGTCTGTACGTGTTGTCTTGTGTTATCGTAACGGTTTACCTTTATCTTACCTGACTCTACAACATAAATGAACATTCCTCCCAGTAGATCTCCATTAAGGATAGAGGAATAGACACACCGTGGAGCCCATGGATTTGTTCCCTTTATCACTGTAGACATTTGTATTATCTGTAGAAATGTAAAAACTAGAATTATCATAAAACTATGTAATAACAATTTGCAAAATGATAAAAACATTAAATACAGGTAGCTGTAAATTTAATTCAAAAAATTATTTTAATTAATTTATTGACATGTGCTATTTTGTATGAGAAATCTTAATTAACAAAAATAAGTATAGCCTCACAGAAAGTAATTGGCAATGATTCTTTTTGTCTTCAAAGTCACAACTATTTAGTTTTAGTATTAATCTTCTAAAAGACGAAAAATATACAAAATTTGCATAATTTTCTACTATAAAATACCCAGAGCGCAGGTTTGCTCAAGAACAATATTTGCATATGTCATTGCTATTAACATTCTGCCCATTATATTAGAATATTGCGCAGTACAGTTAAGGTGCGCAATGGAAATATCGACTATATTTTTAGTTTAGAAAATATAATTTAATGTATTCATAGTCGGGATGGCGATTATTTTTAGTACATTATTTATATTGGATAATTGTAATTATTATTAATAACTACATATCGAGGACAATTATATTTTATATTTAGACTAGTAATGTGATGCGGCAGTAACATGATTTTAGCACTTTTACTTCGAGTATTGATGTTTCATATTAATATCACTAGTGCAGGGGCATGACCAAAATAAATTTCCAAGTCCAGTTTATAGATATTTTCAAAAGGCAATATTTACATTTGCAAATGTTTTCCTTTATATAACACTACTGAAAGGAATGCGTATCTATAACTGTATAAATACAGGTATGGGGTCAAAAGGTCATAGATGTGCGTATGGATAATCGTTTGACGTAATTTCTTAGTGACGTCATAAAGGGTCGACACGCGTTCAGTGAATTACATACATGCCGTTGGGTTTGAAAAACAATGCATTTCACACGTTAAAAGTCACAATTAGGCAAATATAAAGTATGAATTAGTCACAAATGTATATATAAGTAATAAGGTATCATTTTTAAACATCTATCGGGCTATAAATACGGGTCGGTACGAGATTAAATTCACCATAAAGCCCGAAGGGCTTTATGGAATTTAATCTCGTGACCGACCCGTATTTACACCCCGATAGATGTTTAAAAATGATACCTTATTTCTTAAATGTAGTTTCTAAAAAGTGCTGCGATCCTATCTAAACTGTGCAATTTCATTGTTAAAATATATTTGAATAACGGAATGCTATATTTAAATTGTTTTTAAGATTTCATCATTTCGCAGGACTTTCAGATACACAGATACATTAATAGTTCTATAGTTGAATTATAAAATATTACTATAATCCATAGAGTGTATGCCCTTGCACAAGATCGATTTATTAAAACCCCCACATTACCCTCCGATGTTTTGCATACCAATATAGGTCAGTGTCATTTTAATGCGTAATGTACAGAAAATATATTAATAAAAAAGTGAAGAAGACATTATATTAAAGTTATTGGCCCAAAGAATATCTGTAAATAATATTTTATTTAATTCGAGAATCAATATTTTGTTGAGAAAATATTACTTGATCTGTCTTTCACTGCATAAAAACTTCGTCACCTTTTAAAAATGACGTCATATTAACGAGTGTATTGCGATCAATGACTTGTTTATAACTTGCTTTATAGGATTTAACTTACAACAAAACAGCACGCTGTAGTAAGTTTTTATGTAGTTTGATGATTTCGTACTGGTCAAATTAACAAATCAACTCATTTTGTGGAATTTTAAAGATATGTTGTATGACGTATATGATGTCATGGTCAATTTTTCCCGTACAAATGAAGCTCCGCACATTTTTGTAACCTTAACTGTGCTGCATGAGCTTGAGTACATCTGTACTTGCTGACTTCTGATCAAATTATTAACGCAAAACACATATGTTTGTAGAAATCATGGACATTTTAAACTAACATCAATTTCTTGATGTCATATCAAACATATGGCTTCCTGGCTTATGAGAATCATTCTGTGCTTTGAAGTCTACAGATATCCCACTTTTGAAAAAAAAAACATCAATATATATTTTGTAAAAGTTTGATCTGCGGGGTAGGGGGAATGGCCATTATTGCATAAAGACATTTCTTATAATTTTAGCTTATAAATGTTCTAAGTAGAGAAATGTATGTTCTGTTCTGAAAACGTATGTCCAGTACAATATATATACCTTTTGCTACAATTACCTACTTTATTTTGCTACTTCATATAAAATTTTTTAAAAATATTTCAACATGTTCAATGCAATTTATCTAAAATGAAATAAAAATCGCAAATAAATGATAAATAATATTTATGTTACAGATTGATGAAAACAGCAGTTTACATTTTCTGAGTAAATATACTGCATTTTGTGTGGTGGTGTTTTGATAATTGAGATAATCTTATCTTCCCTTAGTCTAGAATAATTTATACTAGATCAACTGGAACCACCTACCTTCTGAAGTTGCCTCCAAATCAACGAAGAGTCCAGCTTGACCGATGCACAAGGTACCAACTGGCTACCAATATCTTCTAAGCATGCCTGTTATCCTTTTATTGTACTTTTTAGTTTTGTCACCAAAAAGGCAGAACCCAAATGAACAAGAGGACAGATCTTCAACATTTTTTTTTCATTACTTATTTTGAATATTTAAGACCTGTCCAAATTTTGAAAATATAACGACATCAAAGTACGATTTTTGCACATCTTGAGAAAAATGCCTTTTAGAAATAATTTTGATTTTTTTTCATTGATATTGCCACTCCAGGTAGTTGAAAAAGACTTAAGGTAGGTAATATTAGCCATCAATTGTCGCCCGGGAAATAAATAAAGTAAATAATGAAAATGAGTCTCGATCATCAAACCGCTTCGATATGTATGCAAAAGACATGCGTATAAATTATATGACTGCCGTCATGAGAAAAGGGCCCTTATCTTTTGACGTCACAATGCTCAGAAAACGACGTCAAAGTCGCGGTATTGTAAACACGGAAGGAAATTTTGTTGACTGCATTTTGTAAACAAGAAATAAAATTGAATTTCAAAGCGTAACAAAAATTTGAAAGTTGATCCGGACATTTTTTTAATAGGTATATGATATTATTACAGTTTAGTAAATAAATTTATTCATAATTTTGTTCAATTGCAAGTTTTTAACTTAATGTTGATATACGGGGTATTGGACATGCACATTGCTAGCACTGGAACAGCGATTAAAACGATGTATATACATGACTAAATTAAAGATGCTGCATATTTGTTTTCTTAGCAATTTACAAATGCTTAAATTTGAATTCATGTTAAGAAGTCTTAATATTAAAAGGAATATTCGATATACATGGATATTTTTTTTTCAGAGAGAGAGAGAGAGAGAGAGAGAAGAGCGAGCGAGAGATCTATGCACATATAGTAATTACCGCTCTTAATTATAGGCGCTACTTTTTTTTCGAAAAGTATATACTATAATTTAAAACGTATTTAGCCTTTTTAATTTTCACCCATAGTTAATCATACAGATGTACCCCGATAGCCAGCCTTCGGTGAACTGTCGAATTTAAAATGTGTGTAAAAAGGAGGGAGGGTTAAGAAGACCCGCCAAAAAGAATCTCCGAATAAAAAGACCGGATTATACGGAAGCCCCTTGGTGCCACGTTCGAATATATCTGGCGGCCGCCACATAAATTATTTTGCAAAAGGTGAGTGTTATTGGGTTAAGAAGATGGATGTTGACACAACCGCTGCTTATTGATAAAAAAAGTGAAAGATAAAAAACGAATTCTGAAATATTGGAACACCGTTCTTAGAAATCCAAAATACAAAACTTTATTTAATTCTCAACCAATAATAGCTTACAGCAAACACAAGAATATAGGTGACGAGATAACCCGGTCTCACCTAAAAATAACACCATGATTTATGTCCGTGACCCCTGATGAGGCTTCTTAATAACCGAAACACTCTTCAAAAACTTGCATAACTCAAATAAATATTAATCTGCTCTATGCAAAAACATATCTTCTAGAAATGTGGATTGGAGCGTTGGTTCATAATAAATCTCTTACAAGTTTGGTTGATTGATGCCCCCCCCCCCCCCCCCCCGAACCTCCACACACACATACACTCTTTTTGTTGCAGCATAGTCAAATTCTAGCTGCAAATTTGTAGCTCTCCTAAATAATATATTGATAGTCCGGAGAGCTACAATGCCACCCATTCAAAAAACTGTGCATTGTGCACAAAAAAGTGCGCTCATTTCTTGATTAATTCTTCCAAATTTTTACCTCAATTGCAAAAAAGGAAGATTTCAAATAATCTCTTTTTCCTCTGTCAAGTATTCTTGTAGTTGACATCTGAACGAAGCATATTGGACTGAATTATCTTTGAAACCAAAATGGCTGTTTAAATAGGCGAAATGTTCGATGATAACAATATCAGAACCAGGAGGACTATTAACAACAATTATGGGGAATGTTTGGTTGTGAAAAAAAGTGAAAGAATATATTCGGAACATACGGTTAGTAATTTTTTGAGATAACAATTTAAAAACATGGAGAAATAAATCAAGAACCGAGCGCACTTTTTTTGTGCGCAAGAAATATACAGTTTTTTTGAATGGGTGGCACTTCCCCGGTCTATCAATATATTATGTCGGAGAGCTACAGATCTGCAGCTAAGTCAAATTCGTACACTATATGGCAAAAGAATAAGGCAGTGTATTATGTTTGATTAAGAAAATTTGATACTGACAGAAGACTGAACCTATCCCCACCACCCCCACCCCTCTCCAACTCCCCAACGGCGGAGTTGGATTCGAGTTTCAACATCCCCTTTTTTGGTTGAGTAGTTTTTTTTTTTTATTATTTTTTTTTCTGACTGAACCCTCCCCTTCCCCTCTTTTTTAAACCAGTTGTTTGGGGACAGGCGAAGGTACGAGTAAAATGGGTTTTTTATGATTTAAATATGTTTGGTATGTTCTGAGGTAATAACTAAGGAAAGATTGTTTGCCTAAATATTTTCAGTGAAAAAAGAGTCAAACTATAAAGGTACGTTATTACTAAATTAACAGCATCGCCTCACACAAAAAGCATTAACGTATGTTGGATGTATTAGTTCATTATTGGATAAGACAATCGCATCGAAATGTGAAAAGCTTATAAGGTATCAAGTTAATTAGCTATTGTCATCAAGGAAAATGAATAGATGACCGTTCGTGGCCTTAAAAAATTGCGTTGCTTGTGAAGGAAAATTTGGTGCATGGTTGAAAGTACCCACAACTGAAAAAATTATAGCCCCCCCCCCCCCCCCAAATTGAAATGGCTCCCTAAGGGCCTGTCGTTATTGTGTAAAAATATACAGTCTAGTATTCAATCAGTTTCAAATAGATTTCGTCAAAATTTAAATGGAACTGTTATTTCGCACAGAAAAGTAAAACACCGTTTAGTGTACATATAATAAAAAGAGAAAAGAACAAAAAAAGGAGACCATCTCTTTGATTAAATTATACAACGGTACATAAACCACTTTTTTAGATCATAGTAGCGGTCCTTGTAAGAAAAATACAAATGCTGTGTTCAAGTGAAACAGTTTTTATATCGTAACAGTTATAGGGAATAAAGAGACGTGCGCGTGTGTTTGTGAGTGATTGCTGTCTCATAAGATTTTTTTTTATATAAATATCGGGATCGATGTGATTTTTGCATTGCGAGGGGTGTCCCGTTTAGCACGCGGTGTCCTCCTGCATGGGATTCTCTCTCTCTATATATATATATTTCTTTTCACCTTTAAGTGTTACAAGTGCTTAATATATTTCATAAATTGAATAAGATTACTTATATAAAAAATCGTATGGATTTCAAAAAATTTTATTTCCCTATTGATTTTGTTATAAACCGTTCCTAGATCCTGTCTAGACCCCCCTCCTTTACGAAATTACTAGATTTGCTCTTAATTTAGCATGAAAATAGTAATAACATACGAAATCCCTTAGAAATAGTTACACAATAGTCGCACGGAAGAAAAAAAAATAGAATACTTTCACAAGTTTTTTTATTCTCAAAACGATTAAGTTTATTCAAATAACGTAATTTTAAGATTTTTTTGAAAATTGATTAAGACGCAGGCGACGTCATTACGTTTTCAGTGAGCAACGTCAAAGTTATCTTTAGAGTGCCTCACTAAAATGCTCATAAAATACCGAAAAAGTGAGATATTTTCAAAATTTATGTATATTTACATCCAGAAAGAGTGCGGCTATCAAAATTTACCAAAAAGTCAATTTGTGAAAATTTGACCTTAAGGGCCCTTTTCTCGTGACGGCAGTCATATAGATGATAGTCAAGAATATTTAAAAACTTGTAGTCGGGTGAAAATTGAAAATCAAAAACTGTTACAATACCCTTGAACATTTTATCAATTCCTTAGGTAAATGAAAACTGCATGAAATATAAATGACACCAGACACATGCATCACCTTTATACGAAAATGTGTTTCACTTTAAGAATATAAAACACGAACTGTGTAGAGTACGTGTTTTATGCGGTAAGTAAAATTCGTTTTTCAAAAATGTACCTGTCGTTTTTCTTTTTCGATAGTAAATGATAAGCAAAATATGTATTAGTTATGAAAAGCATATATGCTTTAAACATTTACTTTATGGAAGTAAATATTTCAAGTATCTCGTATTTTATAAAGGGAAAGAACATTCTGATTAACAATCCTTTTAATGTTTAGAAAACTTTTCATTATGAATAGCTTCTCCCACCTCAATCCTCATACACGGACATTTAAACTTATATGTAAAGAGCAGTCCAGAGGACCGGAATGCAATGAAATGCATATTTGCTAACTTTACTTGAAGTGTCTAGATTTACAATCTACCTAATATCAAGTATTATTTATAATCTTGTTTTCCGACATCACCATGTGAAAATGCATCAGACAATATAACTTGGTACATAAAATACAGAATCTAAGTTAAAACAATAGTGTGGATGAAAAAGCAGTTTCCGGAAAACTCTAAACTTTAAACTCTGCATGAAAACAAATTCATTCTTGTTCCAAATTAACATTTTATTGATAATTGATTTACGAAAAAGCCATTAAAATACTAATAATGAGGCAGAAGATAAAATCAAATGGCTGACATACATGTAACATGCTGTGGATTAAGCAACTTAGTTTTTTTGTCTTTAAGTATCTTAAATACGAAGTACAAATAGGGATATACAATTATGCACTCGGCGACGTATATATCTGTAACATTAGGGCCTTTAAAATGTTTTAATATTCACAGACATCAATTCCGACTATATAACAACTGAGCTAAACCATACATAATCAAAGCAACAATCGGAAAACCAGGTCTTCATGGAATAAACTATGAATGCTGACAATAGAAACAAAGCATCCGAGAGGTTGAAAAACATCTGGGAGATGAAACCCTTGAAATGGCAAAGAAAAAAAGGAATGCAAAGGATGCTTTTTTTGTCTGTGATTGTTTTTTATGACAAAATCTTTTGATATTTTTCCTTCAATCAATATAATTATATTTAAAAAATACACAAAAGGTTAAAATTTCAATACAACTCCCTGTTATCAAGAAAGGACCCAAGTAACAAACTGGATACTTGATAGACACACAGTGTATAAATATAAAGGACTGGATACATACATCACAAATTTGATAAAGTACAAAATTATTCTGTACGTAGAAAAAAATAAACAAGCAACTGCATATTAAAAGAAATGACGGATCTATCTAAACTAATATTATTTTGGTTGTAAAATTGTTAGCTTCCCCCCGTAATCGTTTTTCTGCTTTATGAAGGTGTATATATCGGAAATCTCAGAAGACAGCAAACTGAATAAATTTCTAATAATTTTTGTGCATTCTTCTACGATAAAACTCCAAAAATGATTTTTAAACAGAGATGAAAACAGGATTTTGATGATGAATTTACAATTTAGAAATGTAGCACCATTCAATAAGACACTTAAAAGTGTGGGTCAATAAAACCCTAATCGGATCATTTTCTATGTTATTCTCAAGAGTTTAGTATCATTTAAACACTGAGGTTAATTTATATACATACAAAATTGATAATACTTTTTTTTGACATTTAAAAAAATGACCTGGTGAGGGTATGGCATTTAAAAAAAAAAGATTAAAAATAGTAATTAATGTTTTTAGATTTTTTCAGTGTTCACATCTGGATTGCTATATGGACAATTTCTGCAAAGTATGTTATATTTTCAAATAGATTCTCCTTGAATTGAATTTATAGGGAATAGTCTGCTACCCCAGTTCCTGCAATCAAAAGAAATGTATGAATCAATATAAATGCACATGCATATATGTATATATGAAAAATGAACTCAGGTACATTTTTTTCATCTTTTAACCTTTGTTCAGTCACTTTTACCCTTTTCCAATGAATAAGCTCAAAATGTACAATTGTTTAATACATTAAAACTATATATAAAACAGCAATAAATCTGGTTAAACAGTCTCTGAAAAATAATGTTTTTCTTTGAGAAAGATTACATGAGGTAATTAAGGATAGGTACTTTTATGTAAACAATGAACAATAATTACTTGTCTAACAGCCCTGTTCATTTTAAATATCTATATGCACACAATGCGTTGTCTTCCCATGATCCAACCCAGAGGGTTTGCGTTTCGTTATCATAACATAAGCTGTATGGTCTAATGATGCCTTGTTCTAGTGTCTGTATCCGTAACAGAAAGCGGCCGTCTTTATTAATGATATGTACTGTGTGGGTGGATCCATCACACACTGTGTAGAATATGTAACAGAGCGTCTGTGCAGATTCCATTAGGTTGTAGCCGTGATTCTGATGGAGATCCTGTGTACGAGAAGCGATGTTTTCCTCCATCATCTGTTACAACTACCTGGTTATAGTCAGACGCAATGATGTCTCTATTAGGATTTTCTAGGATATATCTAGGTACCCTGTACAGTTGTTGACCCTTGCCGTCATGTTGTATTGTCTGTATGTGTTGTCCTGTACTATTGTAACGGTTTACTTTGCATGTCTTGTCAACATAACTAAGCATCCCGACCAGTAGATCGCCGTTGGCGGGAGAGGAATACACACACACTGGCTCCCATGGGTCAGTTCCTTTTATCAATGTTGACTGGGTTCTGTTATCTGTAGAAAGTTTGATAATACTGTTACTAGTGCCTTTATAAATCAATTCACCTTTATTGTTCACTGTGTGTGCTCCACATATATTATACCAGTTATAATTAGCTTCACTTGTAAGCTGTTGCAGAGTGTTCCCTCCTATATTCACCAAAATTAACACAGTAAATATTTTTGCCTAAGTCTGATCCAGAACAGTTCTGAAGTAAGCAGTGAAATGTGTATTACATCACCAGACATTTTCAGTTTAACCATTTTCCGTAACACAGGTGTAGACATCAGTACCAGCAGATCTTCATCTCTTACTTGTCTTTTCCTTCTCTCTGTGATTTGGATTTTACTCAGTAACTTTATCACATCCTCTTTGTTTATATTTTTGATTATGTTGATATTCATAGTCAGGGAGAGCAAGGCGGTTTTTGTGATAAATAGATCTTCTTTAATCTTAGGAACAAATGTGGTTTTAAGAAAAAAGAGGAATTTTACCATTCTATTAGCTGATTGTTCATATCTGTGTTCATAAATTTGTATGCTGGCAAGGGTTCGCTTCCGTTTTTGTAATTCACGATTAACTTTTACAATTTTGACTTTGACATCAAACATTACTATGTCAATGAGGTCCTTTAATCCCTTGGCTTTTGTTGACATCTTTAGTTTAATATTTTTAAGGTTGAAAATATTGGTTTGTTCATTTTCTAAATTTGTTTTGATAATTTTCAGGAGAACACGACTATTATAGAGATTTTCACATCTGATCTTTCGAATGATGTCTTTGTGTTGTTCACGGTTTGTTTTATACGCTGTTCTTATGTCGTGTATTTCGTGTTGTTGGTGGTTTTTACACTTAGGACACACAGGAAGTTTACATGAACTACAGTATTTTTTATACACTCTGTCTGGGTGTCTGAAACAGATCTCTTCTTTCAATATATATTGATATTTCTCCTGGTAAATTACATCATGGTGTTTAGTATCTAAAACAATAGCGTGTATCTTTTTACACTGCAGACAAAGATTACATTTACAAGTGTTACAGAAGAATTCTGTACTTCTTTGACATTGAGAACACTGCTGGGTACTTAATCCTGATCCCATAATTTAGAAGATCCCAGTCTCAAAAAACGATCTCCTGAAAGAAATGGAAGAAAATCAAAATAGTAAGATAGTAAGAAACTGCTAAAATGTTTTCTTCCTCTTATCATTTAAACTTTTATCATATGTTAACTAATTACTGGGGTATGGTTTGAGATAAAACAATCCTCGGTCTCTATTTACATCGTAAACGTCTAATTTATGTTTGGTACTGTAAAATTCTTCATCTCAATGACAAAAATACTGTCGCACTTTACAATGGGGGTTTTATTCCCGTGTGTTCATCATTTGAAGGGTACAATAAATAAACATAGATTTATCTCATAGATCTCTTAATGATATACATTAAGACAGAGCAACTGTTATGACGCCTAAAAAAATCATTTTCCCCTAGAGAGCAGTCATCTATCTGACTGAAGAGCCATCTGTATAGAACAATCTGTGTGCAAAACTAATAAAAAACAAGGCCTTAACAATTGGTACGAAGCATATCAGATAAAGAACAATTTTATTTAAATGTTGCCATAGAATACTATACAGGTAGCAATTAAGTGAAATTTCTTTTATAAAAATGCATTTTAATTTTAAAGAAAGTAATTTAAACAAAAGGTTTCCAATGTTTTCTTCCTGATTTGTTTTACAAGTCAAGGAAATTAAAAACATATAGTGCTACTAATTATTAATTTTTTAGCTGACAAAGTTTGGACGTTTTTTCTACAATGATTCCTAAGTGATGTAAATCAATAGTGATTTAAAAAAAAACTTTCAAGAAATTATAGGGAATTTGAAATAAACATCGAACTACGAACCTCAAGATATATTAGGCACAGTATAATATACAGACCCTGAGACGTGCTTCTACCCCACACGCTCGCTGCACGAACGTTACACGAACGCTACACGGTTTGCACGAAACGCTGCACGGTTTACACGAAACGCTACACGGTTTGCACGAAACGCTACACGGTTTACACGAAACGCTTTACACGAAAGACTGCACGGTTTACACGAAAGGCTGCACGAAACGCTTTGTACACCTTTCTCGCACGCTTTGTACACGATTCTCGCACGTTTTGGCCTCGGTTGGATTTTCTACTCGGAATATCTCGGGCATTATTACGGTTTTATCATTAATTAAATGGAAACCTTTACAAAGCCACATTTAGCAGCTATTAAATTAAATATCAGTACACTAGTATTATATAAACTGATAGGTATATTTAATACTCTGACAGTTGTAATTAATTAATAAATAATTGTCATTTCGTATTTATTTATCCAACTGTTTAAAAACTAAAATGCCGATATCATGAATGACTGTTTAATAAAATACATTTTTTATATTTAAGTCATTCATTTCATTGAAATATTTTTACGAGTATAATTTAATAAATTAAACACAAATTCGATTTCTTACTGCAGGAATATGAACTCATTGATTTTAAATAATATTGATTATATTGTGTTTGATTTCCGTAGGCAGATTATTTTTCTTGATTTTGATTTAGTATTAAATTTGCCTATATACTCTACTAACGATTATTTTTACATTTTTAAAGAACTTTTTTTATCTTACGTAAGCATTATCTATAGGAGGGAAACTGGTAAATGGGGGAGGGGGATAAATGTGATGTCTTAATCTATTTTTATTCTCTTTCTCTTTTTACATGAAGCTTATCAAATAACATCAGTATACCCATCATACTGTAAAATCCTTCATTTCAAAACCCGACTAAATGTATGTATAAATGTGTACATTATAATTGATAGTCGCGACATTTGACTGTACATTGTGCATACAATGTAGATCGATTTTTACACCAGCATTCATGTATATTAAAAAGGAAAACTGAAATATCTTAGATGAAACAAAAAGTACGTGATTTATAAAAACAAATAATATACAATTATTCATGATTTACTCCTAAGCTTTTCTTACATGATATTCATGAAAAGACAACTAAATCAGTTCTGTTTATTTTACTGTTTACGGCTAGAAATTCGGATTTACAAATAAAAGATGAAATACGCTGATTTATAAATTGTACTCATTAAATATTTATAGAACCATTTTATTTTAAAAAAAATAAAATCCAGTCGTAATTTTCAGGTGTCATTAAGCCGTGAACTCAATCTGTACATACATGTATATAGCAAAACAGGTTTTCAGTTGCCATGCACTCGGAGCCCGTGATCGCTGTTGTAAATGACCTTGATCACGGTTGAAAGACGGAAGGAAGTTAAGGGGTGTTTCTGCGCACATATTTAACAAAGGGTTAAAAAAGAAATAAAAAATTAAGCATTTATTTTAACAAACATTAGATTGAAAGTTCCAACGAAAATGAAAGACTGTACAACTAATTTAATTTAACCCCCCCCCCCCCCGCGTTTCAAAACACGCGGTCGTCAGTGCATGTGAATTAAAATTATAAAATCCATTTATTTGACAATAAAGCAAAAAGTTTTATGTATTAAAAAGTATTAAATGACACATCGTTTCAAACCTTTCTTTTACGTACTTAAAATGTAAAGACAAGAGCAGAGTCCTGATATATTTTTGCTTTAAATTAAAGAAAAATAATACCGGTATTTCTTTCTTTATTTGAGAAAAAATATTTAAGAAACCATGATCGCGTTGATAGTATATTGAATTCAATGCCCTTAAAATCGTTGTACATAAATGATTCATTTGAACACATTTTCTTTAGAAGGAAAAGAAAACAAACAAATATATATTATACATCACCGTGTAATTTCTTTTCCTGTTCCTTTTTTTGTTTATTTTTACTCCTAAAATATCACAAGCATAACTAATTCAATAATAAAATACTAATACAATTTGACATCCTTACCCATCGATAGCCATATTTAAAATGAAATGACTTCCGAATAAATCTTACACAAATCTTGCACGAAAGTCACACGTTTCTCACACGGTTCTTACACGAAAGTCGCACGTTTCTCACACGCTTTTCGCACGCTCGCTACACGGTTTGCACGAAACGCTTTGGAGCTTACACGAAACGCTGCACGGTTTACACGAAACGCTACACGGTTTGCACGAAACGCTGCACGGTTTACACGAAACGCTACACGGTTTGCACGAAACGGAAAGCGCACGAAAGTCAAACGCTTTTTTGGGGTAGTAGCACGTCTCAGGGTCTGTACAATGTAATATAATGACCCAGGGATGAAAAAACATCAGAAAATTTTTGAAAATCTTATGTTAAAAAGGTGGGTACTATTCTTACAGAACATTTTAATATAAAAAAAAAATCTTACATATATTTTTTTAATATCTGACTTAAGGGGGGGGGGGGAACTATGTCTTTCTACGTCAAAGCAGCGTTATGTGACGTCACAATAGCGACGTTAGTTTTTACCCGTTGACTTTTGCAACTATGATATAGGCATAACATTTTTATTAAACAATAACGTATACAATTTACAAAAAGAAAATTTATTCATCATTAATAACAGCTTTATTTGATTTGCTAATGATAGAATTCTCTTCCTTTGGTTGATAATTCATAGCAATCCCATTTGTGAAGAAATACCTCGATGATATGCTGATATATATAAGTGCAAAAAGATACGATAAAATTCAGCAAAGAAAGCGGCTTCAATCAGAGAAATATGTATAATTTTATGTCTGAAAATAATAAAGAAAAGTACTTGTACCTATATTTGCATATTGATTAATAGTACATGTAGATTTAATGAAGTCATTCCTAGGTTCTAAAAGGTGTTGGTTATGACGGAGAAATGGGGGGGGGGAGAGAGAGAATGTTTGTAATGAAGAAGAAAAGAATTAATGTGTTTAAATTGTTTCTAATCAAAACAAAATACCCGTTTTTCGCAAAATAGTTTTATATTCAGATGTTTGTCAATGCTTACTTACCTTTTTTAGTGCAGAAAAGTCAATATTTATGACACAAGAGCACGAAAATAAAAGAAAACGTCATATCTCTCTTTAATTTCATCATAAAGGAATACTTTTTTCTTTGTTAAAATAAAAAAAATGGATCCTTTCTTTCCAAAAATATGAAGTTCAACATTTTCACACAAAGATCAATATTTATTACAGAAGAGAACGAAAATAAAAGGAAACGTCATATTTCTCGTTTATTTTATCATAAAGGTATACTTCTTTGTTAAAATTCAGGGGTCATTCCTTAAAAAAAATATGAATTACAACATTTTCACACAAAGACTTTATAAGATATTACCTGTTATGCATGTCGGAAATGTAAAATATACGACAAGAAAAACGGGATGATATTTACATAGTGCCCCATTATCATTTTTCATGAATGACAATGAATTTGCCTTCAGTTTAAAGATACAAGTCATATAAATTAAATACCTGTTGATTTTTAATTTGTTTTGACATTTTTGTTTCTTTTCAGCGCATATTTTGGGAAGAACAATAATGTCTGAAAATTATCTATTTTTAAGTATTTAACACTCTTTTTGCACGTGCTTTTGTGTAAAAATAAACATATAAAAATACTATTTTGAATACCTAAAAATTTAGAGCATGCAGTCAGGAAAAA